TGATGCGTTCCTTACGTGCAGCATTGCGGTGAACTAGTTTTGGAAACATAGCCCGTCCTTGGCATAGTTCCGTTGTGTTGATACCAGACAGCAACAACAGCGTCAACGCTTTTGTACGTATTTCAAGCAGATTTCCTTGACCTCTGTAAATAAACGCTCCGAGCAATCGGCAAAAAAAATACTTGAAGCTAGGATAATCAAGGAATAAATGCTTTGGCTGTCGTATATCATGACAAGTAATCACCAACGGCCTTGAGCTTGCCAGAATTCAGCGGCATAAGTTAAATGAAGCGACTAAATAGCTATATTACAAGATTCGATACATGCCCGGGGCCACCAATGAGATTGAATTTTCTTCATAATGTGCCTCAGCCCGGCTGAAACGCCGGCCCTTTGATTTAGCAGCTTGTAATTGCTTGGTATTGACTTAATTATACGGTATCATATCCTGACGTAGAGACCATCGCACTCATCGTTTTCATGGTTACGGCATTGGCATCAATCAGACAGACCACACATGAAACCCGTCGAGCAAGATAATTGGCCCTTGGAATATAAATGTTAGAGAAAAAATACGATATCAGTTGTGTTCATCATAGTCCAGAATTGTCCGTAGTGGTTGAATGGGCTCTAAACAAACATATTTTTTTCTGCTGGCTTGTAGAGCTTGATGTGGGGAATTCCCGGGCTGGGTGAGCTTTTGTTCGACGCACGACCAGAGAATATCCGTTAACGTCAAAATATTCCATAATCTACCGCGCATATTCTCCTTCGAGCAGGCATCAGCACCATCGCGAAAGATAAAATTCCAGAGCTGAACTCATCCGTGGCTAAATACCGGTGGAATGCGCCAGCAGGCTGGGAGGCGGCGCGCCTGCTGTCCCGCCCGTACCCATCACCACACAACGCCGGTAGCACCCTTTGATGGGCAGGCGGCACGGACGCGCCAGCCGCGCGCACGCGGCGTCGGGCGTCCACACGGGCAATTACACGGGTGACGGCGTCCGGCGCATTCCTCCGCGCGTGCTCCGGCGAAGCGCCCGGTCAGTGCCCGCGGCTGCCGACCCCCCTTCCCCTGCCCCTGGAGGTATGCGCGGCGCGCGGCCGTCACCTGTCGCCCCAGGTGCCGCCCGACCCGTCCGCCCGACGGCGGCGCCGGCGGCGGCGGCGGCGGCAGGTGGCTCCCTGCGGGCGAGCGTCGGGCGCGCCGCGCGGCAGCCGCCGTCAGGTGCGCCGCACCGCCGGAATGCGCGTCGCCGACGCCGCCGCGCGGCCGATAACATTCCGGCGCGGTGTCGACGCGGTCCGACGGGGCCCGGCGACCTGCGTTTTGACGAGCGATATCATCTCGATGCGGCAACGATATGTCGGCGTCGGAATGCCGGTGGAGCGGCCGCGGCCGCCGCGGTCGAGATGTGAGCGTCCCGCGCGCCAATCAGACGCTGACGGCGCGGCGGCGACATTCCCGACGCGGCCGCCATCGGCCCGTCCGACGGTATCGGCCCCGGAGGCGGGGTCGTCGTCAGACAGCGCGGCGGCCTCCGCGCAGATGACGGCCCGCCCCGGGCGCCCGCCGCCGCCGCCGCCGCCGCCACCGGTCACCGAACGGTCCGGAGATACGGGAGCGGGGTCGTCGGCGCGCGCGCGCCGTGCTGCCGCGGCCACTGGTGGAGCGCACGCACTGCTGTCACGCACACCTCCGGCGGGAGCGGTGTCTCAGACGTCCGCCGGCGGCCACAGCGCGCGGCTAATCGCCGCTTGGCGTGTGTTGAGTAACGAAGGGGCGGCGCCGTGGTGCCACCGGTTTTGTACGGCTGTGAATCACGACACAGTCGCCGCCGGCTGCCGTTTCTGCTGACTGGCGCCGCTAACGATTGTCGGCAGGGACGACGTGACGAAGGCGAGGGGACGGAGCGGAAGAAGAGGCTCATTAGAGCTGCAAATGCGACTGCAGCAATCTGTCATTTGGAGTGCACGTCTTATGGTGAGCCTCTTTGTTGATGTACTGCACTTATTTGCAAGACGCACTGCGTGACGCGCGACGTGGATACGCTGATCAGTGGAGTGGACGTCCCACCGGACACGCTGCGTTGTGAACCACGCGGACAGATTGTGATCAGGAGACCTGGGACTTGGCTTGACCTGGAGCACATGGAGGTGTCGTGACACGGATGCACGAGTCTCGCGCGCTTTAAGTTTGTGAGCATATCAATCTAAGCTGTGCAATCCCAAGACGTTCCGGCCTTTGGTAAGACACGACACCAAATTATTACTGAGAACATGATTGATCAGTTTAGTTCAGCGAATTGGGTTAAACAATCAAACGATCAAGTCTGACGTAACGTAGCCGCGCGCTAGACGGTTGAGCCCATGGCTTTTGAGCGTTCCCATCAGCGAACATGAAGTGGATGGACAAACTTGCAGACGTTCATGACTCGTCTTCAGGGATTAAGTGTGGTGCGTATCGATACCTCATAGATACCTCAAGAATATCTTTGCGTGGTATCATGCGATTCATGGCAGACGCCAAATGTTTCAGCGAGCTCGTTGCAGGTGGTGCCGAAAGTGTAGTGGTTAACGCGTCTGGGTTAGTCACTGCGCGTCTGGGAAACCCGAGGTACGAGGCTCGATTCCCCGCGGTGCCCGCTCTTTCTGTCAGGGTGAGAGGCAGTCAACATGGTAGATGTCAACATGGTCAACAGATACCATGAGAGGCAGCCAGTCAACACCATCTAGTCTCAGCAGCTGAGTGCGTCGTAAAGCCCCAATGACGACGTTGAGCATGATACAATAGCGCAGACCAGCAAACACGAGTATTTCGCCTTGGTGAGCATCTGGAAGTTGACAGTAACTCAGTCATTGCCAAGACAGGTACTGGGCTTAAGGTGTGACTGCAAAGCGGGGTGAGTATAGACGTCACGTCTCTCAAAAGGACACAAAAGAATACAAAATGTACCTTTTGGAACAACAATAGTTCGTTGTGCCTTGGAAATAACACAAGAATTCCAGCCGCGAAACTAGCTTCCAACAAAACATTCTTGCCTACCTTAGTTTTACTTTTTGTTTCTTTTCATTTTCTCCCTTCCATGCGCTTTGTCCTGTGGCTCCTCCCTCTGTCTGACCTGGTCTGAGACAAACGCCCGGCACCGTACACGTCGCTAACATCCATAAAAGGCCGCACAGCCAATCTAACCCCTGTCAAAACGGCTTTCACGGGGTCCAACGGCGGCGCGTCCTTTGTGCTCACGACCTGCGTCCGTCGCAGCGAAACACAGGCGCCAGAAATGACACCATTGTGGCAGTTATTGTTTCGGCCGCCAGGGGGCGGGCGCCGTCTCCTCCCAGCGAGGGCGTCAAATCGATTCCGCGCCCGCCCGTCCCTCCGCGGGGGCTGGGCGAGGGACAGCGCCCCCCCCCCCCCCTCCTCCCCTCCCCCTCCCACCAGACAAAGGGATCACGAGCGGCGCCGGCGCCGTTGTCTTCTGGGACCTACGTCCGTACCGGGAATAATGCGGCGGAGGCGCAGTGCCACCTAGGCTCTGATTTGCGGCGCAGGTGGCTCGCTGGCGCCATCGCCCAACCCCCCAACCCCCCGTACCCCACCCCACCCCCGTCTGCAGAGTCCCGGACGCGTCTTGACGTGTCGACTTCGGGAAGAACCAAGTCACCGAAACCAGTGATGCAGCCGTGATGGATTGTGACCGAGAGTGACTGGTGACAGACGCCTATTTTGGGATGCCTGCGGACGGGATGCGGCAGACCGCTCTCGTAGCGTGGAGCACACCGCCCCCTCCCGGAGTTCTCCAATGCGCTCACTTGACCTCTCAGGTAGTGACGTGGGCAGGATTGCAAAAGAGGAAACGTCAGTCGCACCGCCGACTGATGGTTGTCCCTTTCCACGCATTTCTTTCAGCGTGATTGGTATGTCGAGCATTATGTATGGTATGCTGATTATTCCTGGGGGTACTAGTGCATGAAATGCCCGGTACCTCGTGCTTGGTAAGCAAGTGTTTACATGACGCTGGTGTGACCAAGTAACAGTACCTAAATGAAAAGCAATATGACCGAGCTCAGCGACGTGCTTTGCCAGATGACCTAAAGAATAAAGATGTTCCGGAAAGCTATTGGGGTCGGGGATGCAAGCCAAATCAGATCAATAAAAGCCGATGCGTGTCGAAATTTCCATAAGCATTGTAAAATAGATCTGAATAACACAGCAAGCGGCAGATTATTAAATGTCCCATGCATGCGCACCCATTACCATTAACAACCACCCCCACCTGAGCGTCATCTGCCTCGGCCAGATGTGGCCTTTCGTGTGTCTCGATATTGTGCATAATTTGTTTACTCTTTTGGTAGTTACCTCATTGCATGCCTAGAAAAAATTACTGAAATGTTCTAGAAACTGCAGCTCCCAACTGCCTCCCTACCCATCCCCCAAAAGAAGTTTAAACATTTCACATACGCCACGAGAAAACCCGGAGGCATGCTTTCAGCGGTAATCAGTAACTATGTCATCATCTCTTGCTCATCCGACTACGCAAGGTGCAATTATTCTTGCAGTGGTCTAGTGACTATGCACCGGTGATGACCACATCCCCTCCCCGAAGTTCTGGGTGGGCTGTGCCATGGTCTTTGTCGCTTAGTTTGAGCAGTGATGAGTTTCTCGACGGCGCCCGCTCCGAACTGCGCACCATCCGCCCCCCATTACGCACCATCCGCCGGCACCGCCGGGCGCAGCTCAAATCCAGGTGGATAGTTTCACCTTGCCTGGGGTCCCAGTCATTTGCGTAAGCGATGGCCGCATTAGCCAAGCGGCAAGTGCGCGCGTTAATGCATGCGTTCGCATGTGGGTATTTTACATGCACGTCGGGTCTTGTTCAGCTAACAGCCCCATCGTGAGTAGTATGTGTCATCCTTGGCACCACATTTTGGCAATGAGCCGCACTTTTGTTTGATTTCGCTTTGTTCCGTCAGCCCGTCGAAAGAAATAGGAAGAATCATAGTGCATTAATTATATTATCACATGTTTATCATCGCCCCAAGCGCACACGCAAACCACACGAAAGGCACACGTATCACAAAGCGATTGAGCTCATTCCGAGCTTGTGTTTACATCGCAGACAGCATCTGTGAAAGCCCTGAGGTAGCCAGAAAATAAGACATATCTACATCTCGTATCACAGCTGCACCGCCGGTCCGCCCCGCCGCCTCCTCACAGCAGCTGCGCCTTCCTGTAGACGGTGGGCCGCTGCGCCTGCGCCTGCTGCCGCCTGGTGACGCCTGCTGCGCTCGGGTGGCAGAGCTCGTCCTCGAAGCGGACGCGTCGCACCGGCTGCAGGGTCAGCGTGCCAGTGACCTTGACCTGCAGCTGACCCCGGCTGACCTCGGCATGTGGCGAGGCGGCGATCAGCTCTTTCAGCCGCGCCTCGAGCGCCTCGTTGACGCTGTTGTCGTCGATCTCGGCCGAGACGTCCGCCTGCCAGACGGTGACCTGGCCCACGGGCACGTAGCCCTCTTCCAGCGCCTTCAGCTTCTGCTGGCAGCGACGCCGGTGCAGCAGACGCAGCAGCGGTTTCATCACCTGGGGAGGGAGAGGCGGACGTCAGTCTCTCACCCAATCAAAGGCAACGGGTGATCATGGCATAAGTGCGACAGCATGATCATATTAACGTCCACGAAGAACGTAAGTGATCCGTTTACTTTCACAAATACGCGTCCGACGCATATCACGGGCCAGAATGATGTTAAGATGCGACAAGCGTGCTTAATCACCCCATCCGCAACAAAGCACAATCATCACTAAAACAGAACGTACCTTCTTAACGAGGTGAGCTCCAGAAGCCTGCTTCTTCCCGTTCCCCGCGTTCTCCATCTGTCCGTCTGTTCTCAGCGCCTCACGTCTGCCCCTCTCGAAAGTTCGGGTGATTATGTCGGCCACGTGCCCGGCGCGCGCTCTTATAGGCTGCGGCCGCGTGACGTCAGCGGGCACGTGACGTGCCGGGGGCAGGTGCGTGCGCGGCACGGGCTCCGTGGGAACGCCGTCGTCGCGGCCGCTCCCACGGCGCGGGAATTCGCTGACCATATGTGCACCGCAAACAGCGCGCGCGCAGCTGCTCGAGCGCCGGCCGCCATTGGTCGAGCCGCCGGTCACGTGACGGCGGACGGTGGGTAATTATTGGGGTTAGGACGCCGTAGTAAAGAGACTGCATTCCGCAGAAGTTTAGGGTAGGACGCCCGAAAAATTAGCACGCATGGCTAAGGGCGGGTTACGGCCATCGTATCGAGTGCTTTGTGCGCGGATAAAGTCCTCGCTTTACAGAATGCTAACCCAATGGGATATTTATTGGGGAGATGGTGGCTCAATGGGGCTATGACAAGGGAAATGGGGTGTTTGGTTTCTGGCAGCCGGGCGCGCAGCCTTCTACGCCGGCTCCTGTTGATCAGGTTAGTTTTCAGGGGGTCTCTTTGGAAGCTGAGCTGCGCACTAGATGCTCTCGGGCGACCAAAACAGCCCTCTCACTGCTCGCGAGTGTGGGAACGTCACGCGACGCCCTGCCAGGCGCACGCTCCAGACACGCGAAGGCAAACAGGGAGGGTTGGGTTGGCCGATCAGTGTGGCCGGTGTACACGGGGCTGCCAGGAGGCGGTGACCGATCTGGAGGGCATCGTTAGGCCCGCCGTCCCGGTCAGTTTCGTCGCTGATGAGACAGCAGATTCGTTCGGACTATGACGACAGGCTGTTGGATGGAAGTGTCGGAAGACAGGGCTCTGCTTATCTGGTGTGTCATCTGGACTCGGTCGCTATCCGGATGACGCTGATGAAACAAGAATGACCTTTCATCCCCAGCGGTAGGGATAGGGGCTCGGGTGGGCCATGCTGCCCTTGCTGCGCACATTTCACATTCAGCTTATTGTGGTGCGTAATACGAACAGGCCGACCCTTTTTTCAAGCGGTGAACTTTCGCCCGAATTCCACGCGAAGGACCGAGATGGTCTCTGAGATTATAGAACCTCTTAGGCTGGCTCTGACGCATGACGTCTCGAGCAAAAGCTTTTGATCTGAGCGAACTTTTGTATTGACCAAAAACATTGTGGAACATCTGAGGCACAGTCAGGAGGACAGCAATTGGACGAACTCAGTCTTCCTGTTTCATCTGAACAAGCGTTGAAATATCCTCCACTTTCATTTTAAAGCTTTGACTACGACCACGCAAATGCATTTGTGCATGCAAGCTATGTTGGAATCAGTGGCAGAGGCAGGATGTTGAAAATATGGATAGGAAAATACAAGAAATTGATATTCAGCAAAGCGCCGCAATGCAAAAAAAGGCTTTGCCCCTCTATCCCACAGCATAATGCGGCAATCCTCTGATTTGTGGTGAATGTTAGTCGCACGAGCTTGCTGGGAAAACCGCACGCTTGGTGTTGCGTCATGATACGTAGGTAGAATTCGCAACCAATGTCACTATTCGGTTATCTTTCTGTACCTGATGGCGCCCGTATGACTTTGCACAGCTACCTCTGGAGCTATTAAGCTCTGCTGGGATGTCACAGCTACTCTTTTTTCAATAAATAGTTCGTTAAAAACTGTCCAGATCAAAACCTGAGCCATTGTCGTCGGACACTTTTTTGGATCTGCCCCCGTCAATTCCGTTATTCAGCTCTCCGACGTGTGCACTTAGCATCGAATGTCTAACCGGCGGGTCGAATCTCACTCCGGTTGTCCCATGATGCGAAACGAAATATGCAATCGTCAAAAAGGAGTGACAGCTTCCAAACACCACCCTGGCCGTTGTTCTACGGCCGCTTTCTTTCACCTTCGTCCTACGAGTGGCTTTCAGCCTCCTCAAAACATTTTACCTGTTAACAGCGTATGTAATAATGATATAGACTCAGCTAGCCAAAATTTCAGCACCGTGCTAGAGACCATTCACAGTTAATTCTGGAAAAAATCGTATTGGGTCCTTTGAGGCCCCTTCTCATAGCGCAAGGGCTACGCCATTTAACCGAAAGCGTGTGACCCGCGAGTGCGGCTGAAGGCTTGCGGTCGCGGCCGAATCAGTGCTGATGCGTGCAGCGTGCGGGTTTTCTGCTCCCGAAATCACGGCCCGTGATCCTTTACGAATTATTGCTCTGAAAACTGAAAGTAAATGCAAAAGCTTAATGATATTTATATTGCTATTGATGTGGTCAGATCGGCGGTAGATCACCCCATTTTCATAAAGAACTGGCTTGATGGTTATGGCAAACTTTGCCCTCTGTAAGTCCACCTTCTGATAAATGGTGTATGCACTTCAGAATGAGGCTGTTTTGCCTTTGTTCCCTATTATCAAGTAAAGGAAGATTCAGTCAGGTTCCCTTAGGGGGGAGGGGGGGGGGCAGCGCTCAATCAGAAGCCATTATACCAGTTTTTTTTTACTTTCTGTCAGGGATCACCCATGGGGAAATAATACGAATGTGGTGCTGAGGGAGGAGTGGGGGGGGGGGGGGAGACCCCGGGCCTATCCCGGTGCCCGTGCCTGTGCTCCGCCAGAATCCAGTCTGGGACGGCTTTGGGTCGTCCACGCCATTGTGGTGTCATGTGCTGAGGCTCGTTACGAATGCAAGGGTAGGAAGCACGGTCAACGTAAGCGCCTTACATTTTTGCGTTGGTTTGTGACAAGGTCGTGACATTATCACGGGTCGACGCGCACCACAGGCGCGTGACGCGTGACAGCCGCATTCCTTGGGATGTATTCGCAGCGCACCAGGAATATTCTAGTCTACGTGAAATCACGTAGAGTCCTTGATACATTTTCTGTTTACATCCTCGTAACTTTTAAGCTAGTAGCCGTGCATGCGAGACACTAACATTCACGTTCGCACTTATTACGCGTGCTTCCCACGGTGGAAACTACGCATCATGCTGTTTTTGGCGCAAAACACACTTTTTCTTTACCGATCGTCAGTGCTGGGTGCGCAAATCGATTTCTTTATAACTGAGCCTGTTGCGCCATTTCCGTCTCACTTCGATCAAGTGGCAGAAAAAAATAATGCGCAGCCGGGAATGATTCAGCGCGATTTCACCTAGGATTTTTGCCGTATGGATCGCAGCGAACACCAAAACACGCGGAATCTATGGAACGTTAGGTCATGAATGACGTCGACGGCATGGATTCTTTGTCGTCCGGGTCGTTGCGAACACACCCCTGGTGATCACGAGCAGGGCCGCAGACGGAGCGAATGATAACTTAAACTGACCGAACATATTTAACACATTTATTCTGTCATGCCGAGTGTGCTCGTGTTGGCAAAAGTATTTTGAATGCCTGCTTTCTCTGTGAACTTTCTGTGTCAACTCAAAATCCAGAAAAGGATTAATTTGAATGAGGCTTTAAGTGTGCAATGCAATATAATTTCACAGCTTCGGTAGCACGGCTAAAAATACTGCCGAGAGCGAGCACCGAAAGTCCATTAACAACAACGGCCCAAATATCCAGCAGTGACTTCGGCAATAAACCTACCCGATGTTTACGCCAAAAATCACGCTTTGTCCATTGGTCCAGATTGGATTGACCATGCCATGTTTTGGTAATATACGCGACCGATCCTTGTGCGCCGCCGGCTATTTTGGACTATACCCGTACTTCCAATCTGTCGGGTCCGAGGAAGTTGTCTGACAAGCCTGGCTTTTGAGGACTTTGAATCACAACACGTTGCCCAGCGCACTATTCGCTCTCAAAGCACAAAGCCTCACAACGGCGCAGAGACTCGACGAAACCTCTCAGGCGTTTTGCGACGTCGATCAGCGAGCGCGGTAAAAGGCGACCCGAAGGCGACACAGCGACCAGCTGCACAGGAAATTGGATTCCTTTCGGCGTCTATGGTCCGAAAATCGCGATCCGGAAGCGGGCACAACGGCTATTCAGGCGATTTTCCTGGAAATCGCCTTCGAGTAGCTTCCAAACAATTGCTGGCGGACAAAAGCCGGGGCCTAGGAGAGGACGGCCACCGGCAGGGAAGAGACCGCCTCCGCTGATTTACATGCCCACGAACCGCTCCAGATTAGCCGCACACAAACACGCCCACACAAACACACAAACTCAAGAGCAAGCCAAGCGAGGAAAGAGAGAGAGAGAGAGAGAGAGAGAGAGAGAGGGGAGCGAGAGCGGAAGAGGCAGGAGGGCAAGAGGAAGGAAGAAGGCCAGGGAAAAAGAGGAGAGACAATAAGGAAAAGACAGAAGAAGAGAGGGGAAGATAGAGCGACGAGGGATGAAGAGAGCTGGGTTCAAAACGGTAGTCGGCGACGCCGGCGAAAAGACCACCAGAGGGAGGGCGTGTTTGCAGAGAGCAGACCCGACCGAGAGAGATTGAGAAAGAGAGAGAGAGGGAGAGAGAGAGAGAGAGAGAGAGAGAGGGGACCAGAGGGGAGAGAGTCGCCAACACACACAAACACGGCCGGGGGCCGCTAATCTCCGACGGTGGCGACCTCTCACGGCTGGCGGCCAGCCCACAATACGCGGCCTGCCCAGCCCGTCGGGACGATGTTTCCCAAAGATTTGGCAGCGCCGCACAAAGCACCCCGCACAAGCGGCGGCGGCGGCGGCGTGTTTTCCACCGCGCCGACCACGTGTGCGCCGAGAAAGCCGCGCGCCGTGCGGCCGCGTTTAAAAGGTTTTTGTGATTCGGTGCCGTGTTCGGATAACATCTAAACGAGGCGCGCTCACGCTCGGGCGAGTCGGCCGCCGGTGAATGGCGGCCGGGGGTCAGGAGGGGCACGAGTGGGCGCAGGGGTCGGCGGGCGCGGATCAGGTAGGCGGCGGAAGGAGTCGCGACAATGGCGTAATCCCTCATCAAGATTTCGCCCGGCGCAAATGGACGCCAAAATGGGACGGCGCCGGGGATAAGCGACGCCGATAGGATATTGTTTTCATTCAATTTGGTCGAGCTTGGCGGAGAC